ACGACTTTTCTACCTCTCATCTTTTCTTCTCTCTCTCTCTCTCTATCTATCTACGTCCCTCTCTCTCTTTCTCTCTATCTATCTCCGTCCCTCTCTCTCTCTATCTATCTCCGCCCCTCTCTCTCTCTCTATCTATCTACCTCCATCCCTCTCTCTGTCTATCCATCTTTCTCCGTCTCTCTCTATCTATCTATATGCGTCCTTTTCTCTCTCTCTCTCTCTCTATCTATCAACCTCCCTCTCTCTATCTATCTATATCCGTCCCTCTCTCTCTCTTTCACCTCCTCCCACCGTTCCCTCGTCCTCCCCTCTCTCTCCCTCCACTCCTTCTACATCTCCCTCGTCTTATCACTTCCCTCCCAACCTGTCCCCCTTCCCCTCCCCTCACTCCCAAACCCCGCCCCTCCCTCCCTACCCCCACCCCTCACTCCCAACCCCGCCCCTCCCCTCCCTACCCACCCCTCACTCCCAAACCCCGCCCACGAGGTCCGACTCACTTGGCGAAGGAGCGAGTGGCGATCTTGTCCAGGTAGGCTGAGACGATCCGGGCGAAAGGATCTCGGACGATCACCACTTTCCCGAAGTCCTTTAACATCTCCTTTGCCGCCGAGCTGTTGGATATGCTTAGAAATATATTGCTTTCATATTTCTAACTTCCATCTTGTATGCTATGTATATACATATCTTTTTAGAATGTATATTTGAGAAATGTGGATTATATACATAAATACACATCGACGCTCTTATCACACAACCTTATATCCGAAAATCCATTATATATATCTATCTATATCTATCTATCTCACCTGTATCTTTTATAGGGGGGTTTCAGGTAGCGCTCAGCTGTGTAGTGCCAGTGCGTGGAGTTTTTCAGAACCCCCGGGAAACCTGCTTCCATTAAGTACTGGGTCCACGTTGACGTCCCTACCTGCGGGCCGAGACACCTGTGTGAGCGCGCGGAACACCTGGCCGGTAGGGGCTGGTCCAGATTTGCCCCTTTCGTCCTCATCCTTGCGTGGATGTGTATGTATGGGGTTCATGTACATTGTGCGTGTTTAAATCTATCTATTTATCTATCTATTTATCCATCTATATATTTATCTATCTATCTATCTATTTAACAATCTGTCTATATCAATATTTATTTATTTATTTATCTATAAATAAATATATGCATATAGATATGTATATCTATATGTGTGTAACACACGTACACGCACACACACACACACACACACACACACACACACACACACACACACACACACACACATATATATATATATATATATATGCATATATATATATGTATTTATATATATATGTATATATATAATATATGCATATATAAGCATTTATTTTTATAAGCATATATATTTATAAGTATATATATTAATATATATATTTATAATATATATATATATATATATATATATATATATATATATATATATGTGTGTGTGTGTGTGTGTGTGTGTGGTGTGTGTGTGTGTGTGTGTGTGTGTGTGTGTGTGTGTGTGTGTGTGTGTGTGTGTGTGTGTGTGTGTGTGTGTGTGTGTGTGTGTGTGTGTGTATTTATATATACATATATGTATATAATGAATGAGAAAATATCTTCACACTACATGTTTTTGATCGATTTCGAATATGTTTTCATCAGAAATACATACATTAGAGATAAGGATAAGGATAAGTCCGATATGCGAAGCTGAGCCTCGCCCGGGCTATGGGGGAGCCCGGCCTGTGCCGACTAATGTCGACTCGATCAACGTGTGTCAGCAAGTGCTGACGCGACAGAGCTTAGTCCTTACCCACCATGGTGCCCAGCCACAGCAGTAACCTCCGAGCGACAATTGCAACTTCTCGCGCCTGGGCGGGGCGCGAACCGCCGACCCCTCGGATGAGAGGACGGCACGTTACCACTGTACTAGCCTGGAGGCTTACATTAGAGAAAATACACAGCATAATTATATCCCTCAGGAGCCGATGAATCACCTGACGAAGGCGACCTCGCACTCGTTACGCGCATAATTGCTAGTTAGACACCGGCCAATGAGGTGTTTATATTCCTCTCGGTCGCGATGTGGCCAGCTTCCATGACATTCCTTTTGCGTTTGTTCAATCCTTCTTGGATTACTTCGGCTTCCTTCCAGTTCGGTAGATGTCCAGCTTCATCTACTTGAACCACCATGGCGTTGGAAGTCCTGTGGTGACGGACGTCGGCTCGATGTTCGTCGATTCAGGCGTTGAAGCCACGGCCCGTCTCACCAAAGTAAGCCTTATCGCAACTGCTGCAGGGTATGCGATATGCTGCACTGTTGGGGTTGTTTTTCATCTGCTTCTTATCTCGTATTATGTCGCGTATCTCTTCAACGGATGTGCTTGCGATTTTCACGGTATTGCCAAAGAATTTGATAATCGCCTGGGAAACGTTTACATGGCGGTAATATGAGAAAATGAGATGCCACAGGGTCTGATCTTTTAAGTATGTTCTCCGCTTTCTCTCTGAGGTTTAACAGGAACCTTCTGGGATATTTAAATTTCACAAAAGAATCATTTACATAGGTAACCCCATGAAATTCAGGGCAGCAAATCCTCAGTGCCCGGAGGATGTAGCCAATTCCAACCCCAGATTCTGTTTCACTGCTGTGGGCGGAGTAAAAAGTGGATACAGTCGTCTTCATCTATAGGCTTCCTGTACACAGAGAAACGTAGGCCGTCGTCACCCGGATGGATCAGAGTGTCCAGGAAATGTAACTTCTGATCCTCATCCCCCTCGGTGAACTGGAATTTCTCGTAGACGGAGATCAGCTGCGTCAGCATATGGACCCCAGAAGGTCATGTCTACACCATATGCTGACGCAGCTGAACTCCGTATATGCGTATACTTCTGTGTGCATATATTCACACACACACACACACACACACACACACACACACACACACACATATATATATATATATATATATATATATATATATATATATATATAAGACATGCGTGCATGTATATGTATTTGTATATATGTATATTAATGTGTGTATGTATGTATATGCATATATATATATATATATATATATATATATATATATATATATATATATATATATATGTATATGTTATATATGTGTGTGTGTGTATACATGTGTATATATAATATATGTATATATATATTTACATATCTGTCTATCTACCTATCTATCTGTATATGATACCTATATACATACATACTTATATACTGTATATATATATATATATATATTATATATATATTATACATATATATACATATACACACACATATATATGTAAACATGTACAAACACCCACACACAAACACACATACACATATATACATATATTTATCTATACGCGCCCACATACACATCACCTTGGCATTGAAGCACATGAGCAGGCTGTGCGACACGAGCCACCGCAGCCGCTTGAGGGGGCAGTGGTCAATGGAACCGTACGACCCGCTGCCCTGGAGGTCTTGGCACACTTGCTGCACTCGTTCCCTGCGCTCCTTGTACACCTGCGAAAGGTAGTAATTGCCAGGTTAATGGTCTATTAACGTTATTATTACTTCTAGCTTTCGGTTTAGCATTTGAGGTTGATTAGCGGGTCTTCCGTTAGATGCGATGGTGGGCGTGGCCTGACTGACCTTTTCCCTCTCCGCAAAAAAGTCTAAGTCCTCCTGCGTGTTCTTGTCTGAGGGCGCCTCCGCACCTCCTTCTACAGGCTCTATCACGTCCTCGAGATCCACGGGGCTATCATCACCATCTTCTTCTTCTTTATCATATTCGTAGCTCTCCGCTAATTCCTCTATATCGCGTATTCCCTCGTTCTCCCCTTCTTCGACGATTTCTTCTTCGTATTCCTTGTCGTGTGCTTGGAGGAGCTGCTGACCTTGATCGAGAAGGTCATGTTGAACTTCCTGGGTCTCGTGACGAGCGCTCGCCCGCCTCCTCTGGTTCTCGTAGTCGGACCGTTCCTGTGGGCGGGATAAATTGATGAATGATTTAGTTTAGAATGGAATGGAAGTCAGCGAGAGTGCTAGACGAGGACGCTACCGTTGAACCACACAACAAAAGCGGAATCGGAAGCGTTAGCCTTGTCTATTTATGATTTTTTTGACTCTTTCTTTACCGCAATTAGCGTTAGCCTGCAATTTCAAAATACCATAAAGGGACCGAAGAAAATCGTAGGTATATGTTTACCTACAAATATTACGCTTATTCTCAATTAATGGTAGTCTATATTGTAAATACCTCAGCTGTTTTTGGGTAATGTAACCAGCTGATTTCGCTAGTTTCACCAGCTCTTCGTGTGATGTCATACGCCTCATTACCTCCCCCTGTTGCCTCAAAATGACACGTTTACTTCCAAGAGAATCTTAAAGAATTCAAACTGATAAAAAACGATTCAGCAACTCTGATTTCTCTACACGTGACATTGCTTGCCAGAAGTCTTTGCAATGAAGTGGCGAGCTACATCTGTATATTTTTGTACATGGGTGGTGCCATAAAATAATAAGTGTATCTATACATAGTCTGTTCACAATTAGCTATTAATTTATCTCTCTCTCTCTCTCGCTCTCACTCCCTCCCTCCCTCCCTCTGTCTGTCTGTATCATTCACTCTCTCTCTCTCTCTCTCTCTTTCCCTCTGTCTCTCCCTTCCTCCCTCTGCCTGTCTCTCTCTCTCTCTCCCTCCCTCTTTTTCTCTCTCTCTGTCTCTCTGTCTGTCTCTCTGTCTCTCTCTCTCTCTCCCTTATATATATGTATATATATATATATATATATATATATATATATATATATATACATGTGTTTATATATATATGTATACATATATGTATGTATTTATATACATTTATATATACATATATATGTATATATATTTTACATACATATGTATGTGTTTATATAATCACACACACACACACACGCAAACACACATATATATACGTATATATGTATATATATATATATACATAT